CTATGATAAACGATTTATGTTTCATAGTCAATTAGTTTGTTAATATTAAATATGCTGTATTTTCATAATAACGGTTATTCAAGAAAATATCTTAAAATAGTCATCAAATTAACGTAATGAGCAAAACGGATGACTGATAGTAAACGGAAGTCAGAAGACAGAGTTACTTACATCTATGTTATGTTATGTCAAATATATTAATCTACTTTTATTGGGAAAATTCTCAAATAGATGGGTATGAAAATAATAAACAAAAATGAATAATTCATTCTTCATACACTTGTAGAAAGGATTCTGTCAGATATGATAAAAGCATTCCAAAATGTTCAATTTCATAATAAAACACCTTTAGTTTACATTAACAAAAATCATTTTACTTCACGTGATGCTTGTTTCATCAAGATAAGAAGTTACACCAAATGACCAGATAAACCTATAGGAAATAATGGTTCGACTTCATTTTTTAAAAGATTATACTTATTCTTACGGGGTCAGTTGTCAGCAAACTGGTTACATTGGCCAACAAGCGACTTTGTGATTAATTGATCAAATTAACAGCATGCATTGTAATAGGACAATCCATTCATGTAACTTAAGGGACAAACGAGATTCATAATGTTTAAAACATTATTAGTCAACGTGGTGATTAGATTCCCCTCAACAAGTTTACTGATTAATTCTACCATCCGACTTTTCTTTTTAGTCATTTTTATTCTTTTTTTAGTAGACGTTTTGAAATATAGATGTGTTTTGATTGAGAGGGTCCATTCTAGAAACAATGAATCGACTGTTTCCGTTTCAAAATTGCATCATTGATATGACCTTGTTAGGTATATTTAGAATGTAACATCATACTTTTGAGTTAGCAGAATTCCGATTAATTAACATTTAACTCAGTTTTAATTTTACTTTCTCGTCGCACGCAAATAGGTCAAAATATTTGCTTAGTTGAAGGAGTGGAGTTTGTTATCGATGCTGGTTTTATTATTTAAGAATGCAAATGATAGTGCTACAGTTTTATAGTATTCGCATTTGATGAGATTTGCAAGCGTTCTGCAGAATTTTTTAATAGATGAACTTACGATTAAATATTGAGTGATTATTTTATCTGTGTATGAATATAATCACGAGATTATCATTGATAAATAGATTATAACATGCAAACATTCTGACAAACTGTCTTTTAGTAAGAAAGAAAGCAGGTGTTGGAGTTTCAGGAGACATGACAGAGGAATTACCACTGGAATACACAGCATGTGATTTTGATGACTAAAAGAGAAATGTATGTTATGATGAGCGTCATGTCTTATCTTACATACCTATAGGGTTGCACATAGTTGCGATAACAACTGATGGACAGATACAAATCTTAAGTCAGTAGGTTTGCGAAAAAAAGGAAACGGCCTGTGAAGCAATGTATCTTGTTTACGTTTAGTTCATTTTAATCTAAACGATTAGGAAACCTAATTATTAACATTTTGATCAGTAACATTACAAAGGTTTCTCTAAATGGTACATATTTCTTGAAATTAAGTTGGTGAACTTACTGCTGATATGTTTCTATATTGTGTTTCGTATTAAAAATATTTTAAACAGCCTTCATCCCATTTTATAATGATTGGTTAAGTCTTTATAGGTTTTGTAAAATAAAACTCCAAGAGGCTGAATATTTTCATATAAGGTGTCATCTTAAGTTCTACAAACGGTGTATCTGGTACGACAATCTGTATTTCACGTAGATTAAAATAACATTAGAGAGTTCACTTCATTGACTTAATTAGGTGGTCCCTTAATAGACATGCATTAAATTCCGATTCATCACATTAGTAAATATCTGCTGAACGTTTCCAATGAAAATGATACCTTCACACTCTTTTAAAGACACAACGTCTTTTTATTGATGTATTCCATTTTTTCTATTTAGATCTCTGCGAATTTCGAAAACAAATTATGAACCCTATCGTAAAGAGGAAATCCAGGAAGTTAAGCATTTTACATTCCTTAACAGTGAGCAGTGGTATTATATCTCCTTTGGGGAGACAGCTGATGGAAAAGGTTTCCTGAGTGTTGATGGAATTAAAGAAGATGCTGTTTATATGAAAATAAGTTTCCCTTTAATACTGTCCTTCTATATTTTCTAACTACATTTGAAGCTTTAAATTTAATTTTTTACTGAAAAATGATGGTACTTTAATATATTTCAGTAGGCAAATGCGTATACAAATGTTATTAGTTCATGTATAATTCAAATACAAATTTTCATTAGTTCGCAAAAGAATACACAAATTCAGATAAGAGTCCCTTTACATAGGGATACCGAATAAATGGGTCTTATCATAATCATAAATTGGTAATTTTGTCAAACAAATGTAATAATATAACAAGACTATACAGCATAGAAAGTGGATATGCTCACTCAAGTTTTGTACTTCGTTCTATGATATAGAAAGGGTTTTATGTTTAAGTGATTAAGTATTGCATGAAATATCAATTTGCTTGCAGTCATACTTTGAAAGGTTGAACGATTGTTCAGAAAGATGATGGAAAAACTTATTGACACACCAATTTAAAATAATCATACCAGTCAAAAACGTATGTTATTCTGACTGACATCCTGTGCATATTTGGAAATAAATTATGTGTTTACAGTTAGGTTAATAACAGGAAAACCTGGAAAATCCCATCACATGAGCTCCAAAACATTTTACAAGTAATCTATTTAGATGGTGGTTGGAGGTAGTCGACGGGAAACCCTGGACCCGGGTTTCGTGCTACTTGGCACTCGTCAGCAAGGTGTACCTGTAATCTTGAGGGAACCGGTGCTCCCTGGCGGATTCGATCTCGTGTCACCCAGCTTCACAGTCAGAGACGTTACCACTGAGCGATCCGAGCCGCGACTGACCTCCTGTAGGACTGAGATGTAATCACAATTAATTGATCACTGGGTGGTGATCAATGTCATGCTTGTCTAGTCCTTATTAGTGCAGATCGAATGCTATAGATCGTAATCTGTTATGGAAGTGGTTTATGATGATTGATAAAACGAAATTTACTATTTGTAAAACCAACGGATAGAATAGTAATAGAGAGATAAATTCAATTGTGTGAATTGTAGCTGGGCGACGACTACTCACGAGGCCGTATTATCGAATCCAAATTGATTAGAATTCGAAGACGAGACAGTTTTTTCCTTAATAAAATAACATTTATATATCGAATGCGAACACAGAATAAAAATGGCAAGCTGTCATAGGAGACTGGAGAAAATTAGCTTTGAGTTTATTCAGCTATCAACCAATTATGACCGAATGTTTAGCCTACTTTTTGGGCATCACATAACAAATTCTTACAGTTTAAACTCTTTAAATTCACAGAAAATTCATAATGAAAGTGCTTGAATGAAATTCATATCTATGAATAATTCTTGAATTATTATATAAATTCTGGATATCAAAATGTTTCTTAGTAAAATCAAACACTAAGCTGCATCATACTAAGCATTAGGTAGATCCCATGGCAAAGAGTAATTGCTATGAAAAAAGCTGTATTTCATTTTACATTTTACATCACTTAATTCTTCTCTTGTTTCGTGGACAACAACAATATACTTCCCCATCGATTTGCTCTAATCAGTCAATTGTTCTGAACAATCAGATTATTTAGTGGAATAACACAAAATTGCATATATTTGTTTGTTTATTTATTCTCATTTTATTCATGCTCTGACATGTTCGATTTATAACATCTAGCATACAGTTAATTTTTGAATGATATTCGGTAATTTTAATGTTTGATTATTTCTCCTAAAGAAGCTTGAAGCAGACTGAAGACAGAAATGTTGGATTAATTTTAAATTCAACCGGTCATATGTTTACAAATATAATTTGATTATTGGTGTAAGCGTTAGGTAATTCAGTTTGTGTAAATTACGAGTTTACATTTTCATAGAAGTTAAACTAAGATTTTCAGTACAAATATACAGTACTTAAATAGGCAAAATGAACTTTAAAAAAATATCACTTTTTTAACATCTGATTTTTCAACTGTTGGAAGTGAATATCCAAACTGACTAATGAATTGAAATGAATAAAGTTTTGTAATTAAAGTAATTAAGAAATCTTACAGCTTGTCTGTCATTGTCATCAATACATTTCTCCTTTAATTAGTTGATTTTATAGATCAATAATTTGTTTAGGAATTAGATAATCTTCTTGTCTAAGTTAATATAAGTAGGACATCTGTCAGTCAGTCAGTTAGCTTTGGATATAATTCTTTTAAGTCCTAAAATCATTCATAAGTCTTTATTTGATTCACTCTCATATATATTAAACAGTATTATTGTTTTCTTTTTAGGGGACCTTGCATCTGAATGAGTAAAGAGCGTTTATAAATTAACATGATGTTTTGTAGGCTAATAATTTAGAGTATAATGTATAGAATAAGATAAACTGATTAACCTGTACTGGCTTCACTATAATTTAATACAACCTGGATAACCAGAAGAATAGTTTGAAAGCATGCAAATACTTCATACTTGTATTTTGAAACTTTTTGCACGTATATTTCAGTTTGAATTTGTATTACTGGAGTATATGTGAAGTTATATGTTTGTTGATTCAAGTGAAAGACTTTTGAGAAGTCGACTATGTATGTTGATTTTATTTGATATAATTAAACAATTGAAACGGAAAATTTCTTAAGTGGCACTTTAATGACCATCCATTTTCATGACAATATTCTTCTTCTTTTAATTCATTGAAATTTTATACCCATTAATTTTTAAAACTTTACTTGACAAAATAAGATCATTTTTATGGTTGTAATAAATATAGCCTTATAGTTGTAAGGAGCCTATAAATGTCAGTAAAATAATAATAAAGGAATGAATCATTTTGATTATTCCTACTCCCTGTCATGAATTATTTAATATATGAAAATTATAGGTCATTCCATGGTCGGATGTTATACATTATGAAAAATATCTGAAAAATGTCAATGATATGGAGTTCAGTTATGTCTCGTTTGGTGGACATCCTGAATTAACTAAAACAGGAGGTCCAATTCATTTTCTTGGTTATATTTTTGAGCAAAGTTATAGTGGCTGCATACAAAATATACGGATTAATGAAGTTCCTATAGATCCTAGACGTAAGGCTTTCTTAGGAGATGCTGTGGATGGGTATGGGATTAGTAAGTTGAGCTGCATTCATTTTTTGTTTTATTAATCAGTGTATTGATTTCTTGTAAACATCTACAACTTCTTTGTCACTCATGAATTTTGATAGATTTCATTTTTGCACAATGAAATATGGCCATTATACTTTCTTACAACGGTTTTGTAAAAAATATTCGTGTTGTTATTGAAGTGATGTTGACTAAATCACACTAAAAATGATCGGAAAGACGACCTAATTTAGCTTTTTGTATGATGTAGAGGTAGTGGTTAACTGACTACGATGAAACACAGGTTATGACTAGGATAGATGAGGTATATTTGTTTTGAACATGGATTCTTCACTTGACTTCGCAAGCTTGAAATCATCAGAACAAATTGATATCTTTATGTAGTCGTATATCTGTCAGTCATATTATTATTGATCACTTTTTATGTTTCTACCTATCTAAAATGTTAATTATAACCACAAAGTTACCAGTAGTCACGAAGACAGTAGTATGATACGTCTAATTTAATCAAAACATTTACAGATTTTACATCTACTACGTATACAGAATGATTGATAAAATGAATACTACACGTCTCTCGAAGTATCTATACTTATAATGTCCTGAAATAGTTCACTGATTCCACTAGTGAATGAGAATATTTACAGTTTTCTTATCTGGTTTCAGCTAATTGTGGTTTTGGTTTATGTGAAAAGAAAAAATGCAAAAATAATGCCTCGTGTTTGCAAACATCTGGTTCCAGTGTTATTTGTCAATGCCCTTTGGGAACTTCGGGTCGACAATGTGAACAAAGTAAGTTAAATACATACTTCTGACAGTAACAGTAAAAACTTCAAAAGTCTTTTATCTTCAGATACACATTTCAGAAAATAATCGCCTGTATTTTAATGAGGTTAAAATTCCTATTAAGATATGTAGGTAAATGACTGAAAAAAATATTTTTCATCTATTATTTGTTTTATTCGTCAGAATCAATGAAAGCAAATGTAGCCAATTTTATTCGTTTTTTTAAAATTTCTGATAGAAAAGGCGTAAACTACGATTCCAGGATTTGGGGGAAGAATGCTGTTAGTGTCTTTGATTATAATGGTTCAGCCGATTTCTATTTAGATAGGTTTTCTCTCAGTATGCATGCGGATTTGTGTGTCGGCTTAAACATAAATAGACAATTTCCACTTGAACAATAAAAACACGAAGTTTGTTGAAGTGATCTCTTTTCAACGAATTTGTTATCAAGCTGCACAATCATATATATGTGCATGTACATGTGAGATCATCTGGAAATGGAGATGAGTCAGTAATTAAATGAAGTGAGGAAACACGTATAGTAAATAGCTTGATAATCATAAAAGTTGTGAAGAGTTTAAATAGGATTGAAATCACATGAAAGTAGATATAAAAGACATTTAGTCATTAGTTGGTAATTTTGTCTAGAATTAGAAATTGTTAGGATGTTTTAAGTAATAATCAAACAAGATTTGAAGAGTTTAAATAAATGAGTGAACAAGAAAACCGCTGAAGGAAGTGATGAGTTTGGTGTACTTAGATGAGATTTAGTTTAACGAAGACCACCTAACTAAATAAACATTAATAAAATAATATTAATAATGATAATAACAAAAAAGTAATAATTCCAGTTGAAATGAGTCAAAACTGTAAATTTACCAATGTAGTGATAAATTGGTTAATATCTCGTTATGAACACATAAATTCTTCAATTGCTACTGTTTCAACAAACTGGCGAGACGTTTCACATTTTTGTTTTCTGATAATCTTGAAGAATTAGGAAACGTTGATGACAACCTTAGTGTCAATTAAATGGAGGGCTATTGCATTATTTAGAGCTGTTGAGCCTCTTAGTGTAAAAGTTTTTGGTATGTCCTCAAAAGTGCGGACATATATTCTTCTCTCTGTTCTTCCAATGTAAGTGCTTTGGGACGTACATATAAATTGGTGGTACTGAGAAAAGAGAACTTGTCAACTTTTATTTGTTTGAGTGAGCAGTTCATTTAGCATAACTTCGTCATTCTTGCTGATGAATAAACAACCTTCACTGAGACATTTATCCCCTGACTAATTATTCCAGTGACTTTATATCATTTGAAGCGCAATTATAAGAAGCGGATTTTCTTTCCCACCATATCGTACTCAACACGTACGTTGGTTTTGACATACTTCCTGATGAATATAGCTGAATATGCATTTCACGTAAGCAAGTTGTAATAAAGGCAAGTTATTCTTCCGGGCCTTCCTTTCAGCAGAGTTTACGAGTGCGGTCATAACGGGTTCATACAATCCCCATTTTTATAACTCAATGAACAAAATTTGATGTAGTTTAAATAAACTTCACTCTATGTATTTTCGTGGTAGACGTGTCTCTGTAGTTTTCCATCTGAAATTCGTTTGATCCCCACATGTAAGAAATGGTGTTTACCTCCTACTTCATGTTCCATTGTAGATTCAATATAATTGAATGCTTTGTTAAACAGTTTGAGTTTGTACATAAAACGCAGACAAGAAATGTATCATAACATACAATAGAGTGTAGTTCTTTCGACTGAATGCTCAAGCTTCGTTTATTCTAGGTTCCCCATAGATATATCAACTCGAATTTATTTCGAATTATTTGGAAACCATTAAAAAGTTGTGTAAACTCTCCACTGCTATACAAGTCCAATTTTTAATGATATTTTTTATTTAGAACAGTTGATTTTGTTACTTTTCTCACTCTTTCTCTCTTTCACAACCCGGCTACCGTACAAAAATAACTTATTCTATGTATGACAGGACCACATACAGAATTTTTTTTCATTTCAAGCCGATTACAAAAGTAGTGATTACTGTATGAGAATCCGAAGCTTTAATATAGTGTTGCATCATTTTGGTAATCATTTGTTCTCGGTTTAAACCAATTTCTAGCAAAGATATTTTTATTCCCGTAGAAATCAATGATTTGCTTCTCTAAAATTTATTTTTGGTATTCATTAGTACTTTAATGATTAGCTTATGAACTTGTATTTATGTATATATTTTTTTGTTATCTCCTCACAGGAGTTGAGCTAATAATGCCGTTCTACAACGGATATTCGTACACCGAGTATATCGGATTGAGTGGAACATCATCATCATTCACCACCTTGGAACTTCAGTTTAGACCATCACAACCAAACGGTCTGATTTTATATGAAGGTTATAGTCATGATAGGCGTGGGGACTTCTTGGCTATTATGTTAGTTCATGGATATGTTGTAGTGGCGTTTGACTTAGGTTCCGGTTCAGCGTTTTTAAAGTAAGCTTATCTCTATTTTTTGAGAGTATATAGTCGACTCCGATCCGGAAGTTTAATAGCAGATGAGAAAATAATTGAACACAGTGATCGGATAATATTCAGTCTGGTACTCAGTTCTTGAGTGCTAACAAAGATCACGACCACACCTTACAATACGAATGTTATTAAAAATTAGTTGATGTCAAAGAAATAGAAGGCTGCACACTGCTATTAAAAAGCACCAAGTTTTGGTGTTGTTTTTAATGGTTATAAGTAGAACGGCAAATGCCTTAACCAGTCTCTAACTTAAAGACCATGGAGTATTGTTTATTCGAGATATCTATATTAAAATTGGGGACCAAGATATGACTGTAATTTCTATTCTGCAGATGGGTCACTTCTTGCAAAGTCTATGGACGTCGCGGTGGGCTAAAAAAGGGGGCGTAAGATTACTCGGTGTTGTGGTTAAAATTTAGAAGTTCATTTCATCAGCCTTCAAGCCTAGATTAGAAGATACCTACTATTAGTTCGTAAACGCTAAAGATCAGAGTAACATGACAAGCCAATATGGGTGATAATGTTTCTGTTAGCAGTATGAAGTTCTAAATACATAACCTCCCCAAACGGATGACTGTGGGATTATTATGGCTAAATTTTCTCATCCAAATATATATGAGAGGATTCTTAGCTTTTAAAATGCTAGACTAATAATAATAAATAACATATAGCATAAGTTCTTGGAAACAGTTAGAAGAACTGACTAACCTGCTTGCAACCAAATTTGATTTGCGAATCAGTCATATTTTATGGATGTTTGAGCGCTAAAATGAATAGGTTATTTCATTCGACCGATTCCATGTGCGTTTATTAACTTATCTATTCGTGTGGAGCCAGGTATATAGGTTGTTATATGCGTATTCTATCCGAAAGAATTTAAAAACGTTACTCGACTTGGCTGAAAATAGCTGAAAACGACTGATTAACAAGCCCTACGGTCGAACACCTTGTGAACAATAGTCATTCGACCATAATGGGTTCTGTGTTCAAAGTCATCTCCAAGGCAAGCAGAAGGCTGACAAAGTCAGCTAGTTTCCATCTTTTTAGCATTACCGAAGAACTTGCCGTACATCTGGAGAGACTAGGATTATTTGTACAAAGAAACTTGCATAACCCCTTCTTCTAACGTGGTCTCAATCTCTTGTTACTTTTTTCCTTCCTTACTTTTATAGCGGCCATCTGCTTTCTTTCTACCTTCCCTATAATCTTTTTATCCCCAAGTGGTTTGTTTTCTATCACTATGATTCTGCAACTACGATAGACAGATACCTTGAATATCTTTTCAATAAAGGCATTCTTGAATTTTAATAAAATAATTTCCGTTTTTATACTTAGGAATGAGAAAGAAATAAAATTAAATGAATGGCACATAGTCCATTTTTGGAGAATTGGTCGTGATGGTTATCTCCAAGTCGACTCAGATGAGCATATTATGACAAATTACTCATTCGGTTTACAAGTTCAGCTAACGTTAACTTACTCTTTGTATCTTGGTGGACATCCAAATGCTAATTTTATATCAACCCATATAAAACCATTTATTGGATATGCAACAAATTTGAGTATTGGATTTCAAGGATGCATCAATAAAGTATGTCACTTGGCTGTATTACCTGTAGAACAATACTTTGCAGTTATCTCGTATTTTTAGATCACTAGATTCTCTCTTTTATTTTCTCTACAAATAGTAGAACCATGCATTTACTTATAATTTTAAATGATCAGATGAACTTTAGATTTCTCAAGATGAATCTTTCTGTCAACAATAAGTCTTAAATCTTAAATTATGAATAAGTTGAAATTTTTTCAAGGTCTTAATTTATTCTAAAATGTGTGCTTCTGGACACTTAAAATCTCTTATCTTTTTCAAAGTTATAAATAGATACGTCACTTGTTAGCAAATCTTCGAAGTAAGGCTTCTGTTTTCATGAATTGCGTTTGGTTCTCCCTAAACTACAAATGATTTTTATGATACAAAAGTGACATTTAAGATGTTGGAAAAAGGATTTTCATAGAAATATTTTCTGCATAGCGTTTCTATTTGTTTCAAGTTTGTATTGTGTGCATCTCATTCCAAAGCTCAACTCCTGAACAAATTGTTGTAATGAATGGGGTAATAAAGATTTTTGACTAAGTGATGTTTGTCAGTATTAGTCTTCATTACATCTATGAATAGGATTTAAATTGTGAACTAAAGCTGAATTGTTATGGTGGAAAATGATCAATATTTTACAACAACATGTACGATATAATCAACCGTTTCATTTCATTGGTTGAAGACTGTGATTTTACGTATTCTAGAGGCGATATTATTTAGTAAATACGGTATTGGGTGCATGAATTTTTCAATTTTGAAACACGCGTAGTTACATGTTATGTGGTCTATCGTAATCCTGGTTTTGAGTTTCAGTCAGTTCAAAAATAAGGTGGAAACGGGACCATCCATATATCTCATTCCCACTGAAGATCTCAGTGACAAAAGATAAATATTAATGGATCCATAATTTAAAGTCATAATTCAATATTTTCGTTTCATTTATACATTGGATAAACTTCTTGTTTTTATACAATTTTGTGTTCTCACAAAGAGAAAACCGAAAATTCCATACACCTTAAGTGCCGCTTTTTTTCGTTAGTAGCAAACTTTAGCTTCATGTATTCAAAACGTTTGAGTCTCTTATCTTTTTTAAACAATATTCTATTAGATTGAAACAAACGGAGTACTTATTGATCCTATTAGGGATGCGATAGGTGGCGTGAATATTTTAAATTGTCCTGGACAAGAATGTGGATTTCCAAACCCTGTATGTTTAAACAACGGGAAATGTTTACAGGACTTAAAAGGTTTTACATGTTTATGTCCTCTTGGATTTCAGGGGAAGAATTGTAAAGAAAGTAAGTAAATTTATCATTGCAATTATATATATTATTGTCTTAAATAAACAATTGTATTCAACGGTTGTGCTATTCCAAGCCTAATTTTTAGATTTACTATGAACTAAACAAAACACTAAAACCTTTTGTGTCTTAATTTAATAATGATATGGGATATAAATAAATTTTCTTAATAACGAACGGAGTATATTTTTCTGATTTTGCTGTATGCTAATGATTCATCAAATTATCTTAAATTTCTCACATGAAAACTCAACACAAGGATTCTTCTATGATGCTTTTAAAGATCCATTTGCAGCAAGTTGAACTTAAATTAGGTGTATGTAGATTCTATATAATATTTGATCACTGAATTTAAGAAATTCATACTACTAAAATATAAAAAACTTTAATAGTTATTATAAACATACATTCGTATTCAGCTTTTTCGAATGATGGCCTCGAGCAGTCATCGTTAAAGTACGTTTAAAAATCTGAGGAAAACTAGATAGGATGTATCACAAAACTAAAAGAAATGGTCCTATAACTGTCAAAGCTTTTATTAAAAATCTTGCGAGTAACTAATTCTAGAAAACCAATGTAAGTCCCTTAGATGCACAATCAAAACTTCAAGTTCATCTTCATTTTATGGAAAGATGCCAGTAACAAAATAGATAGTTAGTGCTTAAAAAGTAGGCAGGGGCTAGGCATTGTGCTTGCGCAGTTTGTGAAAACCAGTAAACTACTTTATTTATTTTTAAATAACAAATATAGGTTTAAGACTAATCAATTTTATCATGCGAAGGAAAAAATAATTTAGATGTAATAGATATTCGGAGTACTGTTTGGGGATAAAACAGTTCTGGTTTACAAGAGATGTAAATGCAAAGTCTGACTGATGTTTGATGCTACCATTTATTTAGGTTATCTATCACATTTATTAAGAGGTTATTCATCCACGACTGGAGTTTATTGACTGCTTGTGGGAGCAGTGTATATGTAGTTAAGAATAGTGTAGTAGACGCCACTCACAAGATTTGTTGTAAGTAGTATAGTGCGGAACGTGGCCTCGAAGTCGTTGCAGTCGTCAGACAGAGTGAAAAGTTCCAGTACATCGGAAGCTTGTTCTAGAAAAAACACTCGATGACTAGACCAGAAGATAGTATGGACTGCAGAACACACTGTGAGATGCAAACGGATGATCGAAAGCTGTGTATATGTATTATGTAAACCATTTGTAATAAACAAATCTGTCGATTGTCATGTTCTACAGCAGTATGAAGTGCCTGATTTCCATGTTCATTGACTTACCTAAACACATCAGTTAATTATTCCAATTTATGTGTTTCAGTCATCACTTCTCACCGATAGTTGAAATTAATGCACTTGTTTACTAATAATAACGATGTTAGTTGTATATACGAGTTTGTAAAACTGTTCTCCCTCTAACTGCTTAATAAAGTTGAACACTACTTTATTTGAGACTCAAGATTAAGATTGACAATCTGCATCACTCAGATTTCAGTATTTGCAAATTATCAGAAACCGCAATTTATAACTTTGAATCTTCTAAATATACACTGACTATCCATTCCGTTATTCAGAAGGCATCTGATTTTTAGATGCGACATCATTCACATTAAAATTTGAGCTATGCAAACCATATGTGTTACAAAACTGGAGTTGAATAGGGAAGTATAAGATTTCTTAAACAGTTTTTAAACGACATGATAATAATATAAGAATATATTTAGACTGTAATAGCAGAGCACTGGTGGTATTTTTTAGATAATCTTAGTGATATTATCAATAGGCAGAAATTTTACTTTACATAACCTCTTACTTCTAAAATGAAATTATTGACGAGAAAAGAAAAAGAGATTATCTGAGTTTCGATTTCAAACAGATATAAAGCATAAAATTAGTCTGAAACGTATCCTACACCATGCGGCTTTTATAGTAATTTCCTTCCTTTATTAGTTATTAATGGACACCCTTCATAAAATGGAATGTTCATGATTATTTAAAATAAAACGCTTTGATTTCAATTATCCTCTATAGCTAGTGACAAAATACAGTGCGTATTTGCTGCTTTAGTCTACACTTTGCCTTTAAACATGCATCTCTCCCATATTTGTGATTCAAAATAGGCGTTTAGCGGTTCATATTTTCCGGCCTCATTCAATTCCAAGTGTCCAGCATGTCACTGATTAGAATCAGTTATTGAAATCTGTTTGATTATTTCACGTGCACATCAAGTTTTAAGTATCTAATGCATACCATGAGGATGTATATATTTCTTTGTAATGTTTAAGGCATTTTAATTTTTAACGAGTCAAACAACCAAAAAAAACCATTCTTGCATACTTCCTGATTTTTAATGGTCTTTCATATCATATCGTATTCAGATTACGCTACAACCAATCGTCTCTTAGAAACTGAAGACTTAGTTTTACACAGCCTGACAGCTAACTCCATATGTTCATTCTTGTAATATGTGGGTTTGTATTTTCGTGAAAATTTATAGTCATTGCAAATATGAGAACTTGGATTCGCTATGTACTTATGGAAGACATTTTTATTCTTAACCCTCATTTTAAAACCGTCATATTAAAAATATTTGCGTCTGTCACAACTAGAGGATCTTATAATTAGGTAAAAGAACATCAGAATTTGATGTCATGAACATATGTTTTTTCAAAACTCATACATCTATCAAATTTAAGGGTCTACACATATTTATTATTCTTACCAATTCATTCACTTTACAACGCAAGAATTTTGATTGTGTTAACATCAATAAGTTGGGATTTTTGTTAATGTACAAGATTGAAGGTCTTGGGCTCAACTCCCGGTTAGGGAGTCTTAGATGATTACTTCCGAGAAGTCCCATACTATAATGAAACGCTCGCCTAGTGCTTCTTAGTTTTAAAGGATTTCGATAAAACTTGACGATTTCCGGAACATCATTCTGATAATTTTGTTTTGTTTATTACTCATTGAAAAATACAAACACTATAGATAGTAAAGATGTCAAAATTATCAATAAATTGAAGGGAAATATCTACCCCTGATTCGTTTGTTTGATGTTTGTTCATCTGCATCAATGTAGTTTGCTAATAGCAGGATTTGTATGAGTTTCAGTAAGTTTGTTTTTCTCTAAGTTGATCTGTGACACATACAATTTTGGAAGTTAAACAAAGTTATGTACATTTCAGTGAAGGTTATTTAGACTCAGTAAACTTTAAAGTGACTACAAATTAATGTCCAGGAAATAAAAGATTGATGACATATCAAGCTACATCTATTCGAATAAAAAATCTACTTTATAAGCAAAAGTGGATAGTGGCTAGCGGTGGAATCCAGGACAAAGCGCGTTTCGTCTCATTTGGGACTCGTCAGCTGAATGTACCTATATCTTAAGGTTGATGTTCACCGATCAATTGAAGTCCTAAACATCAATGGGAAGATTCAAGCAAAATAATACCGCGTGAATTCAAATTCACCCCATTGCACAAGCAAGTGGCTAACAAGACTCAGTAGCTAAGTGGATAACACGATGGCATTTGAAGTGAACGGTACTGGGTTCGAGTCCCAGAGTGAACATCAACTCTGAGATGCAGTTGCATCCAGCTGACGTGTCCCAAATGGGACGAAACGCGCGTCCTGGGTTCCACTGCTAGCCACTATCCATTTTTGCCTATAATACTCGTAAATTAAGGCAATATCGAGGCAACACGAACAGGATGCACATATACCAATAAGAGACTGATCAATCTCAGTCCTAAACATCAATGAGGAGATTCAAGTAAAACAATACCAAGTGAATTAAAAATCCACTTTTGATGTAAATTACGTTTAACTTTTCCATAGTGTATCCTGAAAATACTCACGAAAGTCTGAATAACCAACGTTTCTCGTAAACAAATTACATAACTTGTGGATTTATAAAAATTGTTTTTTAAAGGTTGCACAATAACTAAACCCTTATTAGTCAAGTAGATTGATGTACTAATAAGGTTAACTATTCTAAAGAGAGTTAATAAAACTCCATCAATGTGGAATCAAAATCAAATTTTTGCAACATATACATGTACTCCTGATTTAAGTAGTGAATTCTGAGTATTGATACCCTTAAATTAAGAAATACCATGTAGCTATCTGACGATCGGAGGGAAAGCTGACCTAATTACTGAGGAAACTAGTATTGCATAACATATCTGCAGCATATATTTAATGGTAAACTGTTAATACGTACAATCAGATAGTATACATCATTGAGAAAAAAGAATGAGATAACTGAACTTATTATCGAGCTAATTAGTAGTCAAAATAACTGAAATTTTATCATTTTCAGTTTATGTTTTTTTTTCTCTAAACACCCACTGATAATATTCATTAAGAAATTAATTGGCAAGGGAAGCAATTAGCTGCATTTGGAGAAAACAGTTTCGTGAAATTCACAACGAACTCATTAAATTATAGGTTGGTTAAGATTTTATTTAAAGTTTATCATATTTTTTAAATAACTGGCTTCTGCTTTCCTTTTTATGATGACTGCAACAATACTAGGCTACAAACCCGAAATTTTGATCAGTTGAACCACATTGTGTTCATAAAATTATAATCATTGATATGAGACGAGTAATGTGATGAAATATGTAGTCAAGTCCGTTACGACAAAGTACAAGCGATGGATTATGTTTTTAAACTGCTCCAGAAGTTGTACGATCTTCTTTGTCAGCGATCATGACAGAATGACTTAAAAGGTTTAAAATACAATGTTTTATTTCTAATTCTAATTCCTGGTATAAGCGAAATACACCTAGTGTGTTTTATGAATAGCAGATATTTAGTCAAGTCACTTGAAAGTTAAGTCTCGAACGATTTTAATAAATAAGAAACATGAATATTCGTCTGTTTGATCATATGACAAGCGCAGTTATAAAGATAGTAGGCTCTCAACATTTTTTAAAAAATTTGAAGTCACTTCACATTCTGAACTGATTTCAGCTGAATTATTGGGTATTTTACGCGATTTTACACGAACTATTCAGCTATCTAAGCAGGCACAATACATTTGGATTACAGATTCATGTTCAAAAAATTTGCATTTACAACTCCAGGTGACAAACCGTCTATTCGGTTTTCATCGTAATTCAGTGACATTACAAGTGATGTTAGTCCGGGATTATAGTATGATCAAGTGAAATTCAACTTTATAATGTTTTGGGGACTATTATTTTACTTCTTCTAGAGAAGTACTGAGAAGTTCATCTCCGTTTAAAAATGATTTTTGTTGGAAGCGTTAATTATCGAATTTCCCTCAAAAAGTTAAACCTTTATAGATTTAGTTAATGAGAATATAGAGACTGTTTGTAGAACAAAGAGAATAAACACAATAAACCTTTGATTTGTCAAAGGAAGGAAAACGACGAGAAGCTTTTATTTCTTCCTTATCAGTAACCCTGTAAATTTTATAAAAATTTAATTCTGTCAGAAATGACCCAACCCTTATTATATGATGTTGATTGACAGTTTAATTGATATTCAATCCTAAAAACTAAGAAAATCAATATTAGATGACTGGATAAAGTCAAAATTCGATTAAATGTATATTCATAATTCATTGGTTATAACGAATGTACGTTGTTTCTACTGAAACGTCCTTCTTAAGAGCAAATAATGACTTGAAACAAACTTCATTCGTATTTCTAAGGCTAACTCTCATGTTTACCAATAATAATAAATATATATATATTCATTATATCACAATGAGCAGATGTTCAGTCTCACGTTGGTCGTCATCATGCTCGTTGTAAAGCCATTTGAAAACAGTACTTAATTTCAATGACAATATGTAACATAGATGCTTATCTTTAATATTTAAGTTTGATAGCTTGATGATTTTAGTTCATAGAAACGCTGATTAGCTTTTATTTGTATCTATTTGCGTTATCACTTTCAAGCGATAACTTAGTCATAATAATTGTAACATTACCCAAATATTCTAGGAGCTCTACGATGTACAATAAAACAAAACAATTCAAGAGTAATAGCTTGCCATACTAAATAAATTAAATTTTCCCATGTATTTCAGAAAGTACTTATTAAAATCCGTTTAACTTTCATTTTTCTACTACCTGAATTAAATTTATTTATTGTTTGCGTCAATAAACTACTAACTTTTGTCAATAGCCACTCGTTAATCGGTTTTATGAAAGTTCGAATACTGTCCCTCATGATGTATGAGTATTGTTTGCTTAGAGTTTAGATTATATTAACTCATAATGTGTTCATGGAATTATTTCTATGTATTGTTCATAACTCCTTTGTTATTTATGCTATTTTCTAATTCAACAATATTGTTTGAATAAATTTTGTTAACTTTCTTACTGTTGTATTGGGCCATAGCTGCTAGGATTTATATGTTATGATACTAACTTACTGAGAGAACATTTAGCATTCACTGTTAATCTTTTATGATTTACTTTTTAGACCCAATAGTCGTCACTATCATATATCGCTTGAATTTCGGCTATCCAACAAAAGTTTGGGAAATGACATTACTTCTATGAAAAATTATCCGTCAACAAGTAATGCATCAGTTAAGTTGTTCAAACAATATTTGGTCTATGGTGTATTTCAAGGTGTACACAAAATACAAAATATATTAATTCAGCTTCTTTCCAGCAGAAGACTAAAATTAGGTCTAGAGTATGTAGACACTGAAAAATATATAGTCACCTTATCTAACGTGACTAATCAATCCTCGAACAATGATGAATTATGGAAAATTGGCCGTAACCAATTTAGTCAACGTATGTTGATACAAATGTATGACATTTCGGAGAAGTTAGAGTTGAGACACGATTGGCACAAACTCATACTTACAAAGTTAGTCACCGTTGATAAATATATCATTTTTTGATTTGTGTCGACATGACTTAAAAATATGTTATATGAATTACATGTAAATCCACAGTAAACTTTGTCCTTATTCATACAACGTATTCAAATGGATACTTATTTCGAGAGTCATTAATAGTAATTTTTGGCAGTCATTCATATTTAGTCCGAGAAGTGACTAGAATGAGGAATTTCAAAAGCTGTAAATGCTTTAAATATTAACTTGAAATTTTAAGGCAAATTTCGACAGATTTATCTTATAAATTATCATGAACAGTTAAGATAAAGAAAGAAATCGTTTTAAATATACGTATTAGAGTTTTCAAGCTCCTGAGTGATAAAACGACAAATTATCTGGAATTTAGCAATCATTTTTTGAGCCAAACACGTTCAATTGATATTTAGCAGACGTTTGTCTAAAGATATCAAAATCACTGGTCAGACCTCTGAATAAGTCAACTTAGATACCTCACATCAGCATCTATGGTTTATTCTTAATATTCCATTAAGTCATCAAAACATACTGGGTCGCCATGAAATTTGTCGCATAATAGTTTTTGCACAGTATATTAAAGGTAATCAAACTATTTAGTTGGTTCAATATACTAGTAGTTTTTGTACTTTAGCACAAGATTATATATGTACACATTTTTGATTTCTCTTTTCATACTCAGTTAAATTTATTTTGTTCAGCCCGTCATATATTGTCACGCCGTGTGATTCATCTTTACCATTCAGTATATTGTGTTCTCCTTCCTCTACTTTCATTTCATTGTATTTATACATATAAATTAGATAATCGATTTTCCTATCCAGTAGTTGAGGTTGTGTAAAGAAACGGAAGTTGTTGACTTTACATTATTCATGGCAGACTGCATTCTACAATAGATTTCCATATAACAGTCTTACATAAAAGACCGAGTAAAATTAGTTTTTGAATTCTTTAATACTTGTCTTGGTCAAATTGATTGTTATAAATAGTTTCATTCCTTCATGATATAAATCAATTCTTTACAGAAAAATAAAAGGTATTATCTTCAAGAGATTGGGATTAGTAATAAATAGAAAATGAACATCAATTAAAGGAACTATTTGACAATCCTCACTGTATATTTACCGTTTTGGTGCAGCAGAAAACAGAAAATAGATTTTCATGATATGGTGTTGATTGCATCTTAAGTCTTACTTCTTATTCCATGTACTGTATAGTCAAAATAACTACGTAGTTTAAGAGACCGTCATTGTTATTACACAGACTTTCTTCATCTTTATACATAATCACATTCATCTTACCATGGTCTGATAATGTGTAGTGGCAAACTTTCTCTTCGGAAATTCTGTTTCAAGCCCTGTTTAACAACGATGTTTCTAAACCTAACAAATTAGGTATGGGAATTTAGATAAACTCAACTACATAATTGATATATTTTGCGGATTTAGATGAACCATATCCACCGTGATGTTATTTAAGTTGAATTCATAATTCGATCTAAGCTGGACCACCAGTGAAAACCTGGAATCATTGGACTGCCGTTTCGTCCTAATACGGCCGCTCAGTGATTGCAGGTTCACAATGGTGGTCTAGCGTAAGTCGAAACATGAATTCAATCATTAAAACGAATACATTCTCCATAAATCGCCATTATGATAGGAATATTTAAGTTACACGTTGTTTCCCTGTTTCCATGCTCTGAATATCAAATGTTGACTTATTGAATTTTTGACCTGTTGATTTTTTAATGCTTGCTATCTAGAAGTTCAAAGGCCATTACACTATTTATCAACCAATCACAAGTTGCTCAAATCTATTTTGAAGAAAACGAAGTGCAACCGGTTCAGTTGTTCTTTGGTAAATCGATAAAGTCATGTTCTATTCATAATATTATAGTTCCCATTCCTGTTTAAATCAGGTCATCATTTTTAAAAGCAAATAATGTAGCTCACCTAATTCTGTTTATATTATCACTATTACTAATGGAAATAAATATTGTGATTAAAAAACAGAATAAAAACATAGTAAGGAGTTATCACTTCTTTTAAAATAGAACGACCTAAAGTTTTGAAGCTTCTCTGTAAGTGAACTCCATGCTACGGTTTACCAAAGAATATTTAATTTTCTGAACAACAGTTGTGAATATAACGTTATGGTCATTTCCTACGTAAACCAATTGGAATGACAGAAGAGTCAGATAATTATTCATAAAGTACTAAATGTTTCACCTAGATTTTGAAAAAAATTGATTTATGAGTACAAAAGTTGGTTCACGGAATCTCAAACATATGAGGAATTCAGACGAGTTGTGAAGTGTGAAGATTGCTAATTCTACAACACACATGTGTAGACTTCAAAAAACAAACATACAACGTCTGAGTATGTTTTGTTAATAACTGGTGAATTTGTTGTAGATTAAGCATCGGTTAAAATGTCCTTTAGTAAACATATGTATATTCAGTCGTAATCATAATTCTTAAAATTTACATCTGAAAATGATATTACAACAGAAGTATTTACATTGGATAGTTAATAACTAACCAGATCATAATACACATTACATGTCGCAATTGTCAACATTCGTATTTCGTACAACAGCTTAATAAACAAGATACCTGAATGACCAAACAGATTATTATTTATGGAGTGTCAGGTAAAATACCGTACATTTGTCAATTAAACTGAAAGATTGGTTGATGTTAGACACTAACACCATTGGATGCCGGCTCAGTGGTCTAGTGGTTAAGTGCTCAGGCGAAAAGCCAGTAGGTCCTGGGTTCGAATCTCGCGGGGTGTGGGTTTGTGGATGCGCACTGGTGAAGATCCAAACCATGAGAAATAGGTCTGACTTAAGTTCTTACTACTACCAGTTTATTTTTATATTATTAATTAAGCGTTTCTAGTAGACTCTACTTATATAAAATTTATAGTGTTATTTAAAGAAGTAATGCTGCTTTTTTTTTAGGAGGAATCCCTGAAACTCTACATGCACAAAGACGATACCTGGAACTGATGAGTAATGGATATTCATCTTCACATAAAGAGAATGTTTTTATCAAATCCAAAAATTTCAATGGTTGTATAAAGAAGTTAGAAATTAATGGACATCCTACTTCATTTGGTCATGTTGCTGATGGGCAAGATATTACTCAATGCACATGAATTAAGAATTGATTAAAGTTATTTAGAAGAAAAACTATTTTTTCGTGTTATTCCATTTTTATTTACATTTTCAAGACTTATTTTCAGTAATATATTCAGTGATGCTAACCAGTTATTCAGAATTGATGCACTGGACATAATAACTCGTAAAGTGAAGTTTGTAATTACTAATAATAACCTATGGTTATTCTAACTTTTCTTTTAAGCTAACCCTTTAAACAAAGCAGTTATAGTATGTAACCTCCATCTTTACGTATTCACTTGGTCCATTAGATTTCTTCTTTCTATAGAACTCAAAATTTGTCATCTTTGAATATTTCATCTTGCAAGACAACAAATTCTATATCAATTTTACATTCAGTGGATAAACAGTATAAAAAGAGAATGAAGTCACGTTTGAAAATGACATTCATCACGAATATGTACCAAACTAAAAATGAATGAAACTTCATAAATCACTTAATTTAAACGACTGAACTTTTTGATTACAGATTTTTAGATAAATTTTTCTATTTGTAACGGTTCATAGTTTTTAGAAAATATCGGTCACCTACCAAACTTACACTTTCAGATAGCATATAGACAGCTTTAGCAGCAAAATGAGCGTTAAACAGGTAGGATTGAAACTAGAAATGATCCCAAATATTTGCAGCGACCAATGTATTCAATGTTGATGTAAATCAACACTCATTCGAAGGGGTTTATAATCATCATAAATAGACCGCTTCATACGTTTGAAATTCTGGATTAGTAACAACAAGTTGATTGACAGTTAATTTTAAAACTGATGTGCTGAGAATGACTAGCTAATATCTCACTATGTGTGTCATTGTGTAAAATGTAGTATATGTAGTATTATATTTTTCAGTCTTACAATTAGATACTCTTATAAGTTCCTTCAAAAAAACAAAACAAATAAAGAGCCTTAAAACCTTTATGTCTAGAGGGTTGTCGACCGACAACAGCACTTCCTACTACCAAGGACACAATCTGATGCAGAGTAACATGTTTGCTTTGACATGATACTAACTTAGTTATGAAGAGTGAACAGTTGGTTATTAAGGATAACTGAAGTGAATGAATTAATTTTTTCATAGCATATTTTATTTATAAGAAAAATTTTATAATAACGCTTTCTATTGAAAATGAACTCTAAAGAAGAAAGTAAGATTTAGTTAACAGTTCAAATAAATGTAGAGAAAGATACTACAACAACTCTATCTCTGATTGTACTCAATGATATCGCGAATAAAATGTACTTTTGTGATGACACATCTGTTGAGAAAGAGTACAGAAAATCTACCAGGTGATATTCTGTAAATAAAACATTTACCATGTGATTACTTAAAGAATGTATTGGTGAGAAAGATATTAGCCTGCGGCAACTTCCACAGACTTTAAGTGAACTGAAAACTCAAGGATAGAAATATATAGGATAAGAAAGTTCCAGTACCATTAACTAAAATGAAACATTTAGTTTTGTGTTACATTTTGACGAGTGATGATGAAAATGAACCTGTAGCTTGACGATGATTCATTCAACTAGGGTGTTCATTAAAATACATTTAATTGTCATTTAAAGAGGTGATTACCTGGACCGTTTTCTTCCATCAAATAATGGATTAGTCGATATCAGGCATTAAAATTGTTGCATCCCAATTCAGACCGAAGTTCCTGAGTTGGAATCCCGCATGAGGGATTGTTGATCCATACTGTTGTGTTTCCCATTTTAGGACAGAACGGCTGTCCGGTGCGTCCAGGATTTCAACGGTGGTCTAACACTGATCGGTTCATGATCTCAATAAATAAGTATAGACTATACTCTTATAATTAGGGTAACACTGTGGATAAATTTAAAAAGATTATTTTCTTATTTGGCTATGATACTTGAGTTGAGTTATTTTATCACTTTAGGGGTTGTGGAGATTGTTAAGTTTTTGATTGAGATCATGAACCGGTTGATGTTAGACCACCATTGGAAACGTGGAAGCACTGGATGGCCGTTTCGTCTCGTTGTGGGACTTCTCATCAGTGCGATATATATATATATATATATATATATATATATATATATATATATATATATATATAGATAGATAGATAGATAGATATAAATGGGTGGGATTTGGGCAAGGATACTAGTTTTCAACAAATTGAATCAAACTTAATAAAATTTCACACGTTTCACCGTGCAGTATTTTCTATTAGTGGATAATGATATATTTTAAGGTCTTCCAGTTATCAGTTCATATTCTATTGTAATAATCAATGGTGTATTTGTAACAATTTCTTATCTATTCAATGTTTTATCATAATTTCTTTGTTTATCTAAACACAACTGGTGTGATTGGAGCAATTTTACTAGAGAAAACACAAATAATCATAAGTTTTGTACGTGAATTCATATTTGTATTATGAATAAAATAAAATTTGATTTTTAAAAAATGATACATAGAAGTTCTATGTTGATAATTGAGCCAGAAGATTTGGTAGGATTATTGAACCAAATCCGATGCCCGCTAAAAGATTGTGCTATCTTCCATAATGCTCTTGTAAGTAAAATGTGTCGTAATGTAACAGTTTGTTACAACGATTTCGATTTATTAAGATATATTGTTACTAAATTATATTTTCTAAGCTGGCTATTCTGATTTATGTTAACGATGAGAGTACAAAATCTATAACTATAAATAAAAGACCAGATAAAGATGAATGGTGGCTAACAGTAGAATGCATAACGCACGTTCCGTCCTATCTGAGACTCGTCAGCTGGATGCACCTGCTAAGTGAATAACACGATGGCGTTTTGTTGGGATATTCAGGAAAATATCCCAAAAATTATCCTGTTAAGCCTAATGCTATCCTTGGACATGAAATGGTATCATCTTATTGGTCAATATTTATTTGACGTGTTATTTTCCTGTTGGCCATTATTGTACAATGTTATCTTCTATTTTATGGTACGTTGTGGACTGCTTGAATGGTATATAAACAAAGTATGTTTGAAATATAATGATTCATATATCCAAGGCTGAAACTTGTGTTCTGGACTCAACTGGCTGGGTTAGACAGGGAAGCGAGACCAATCAGAACCCTAGGTCGTTCTACGTGTTTGTGCATCTTTGGTCCGATCAATAATTCGCTATCCCTTCAGCAGCATTATTTCCACGTTATAACACGTTTGAAGCGAACGTTACTGGGTTTGAATCCTGGAGATGCAGATGTATCCAGCTGACGAATCCCAAATGGGACGAAACGCGCGTCCTGGACTTCACTGCTAGTCACCATTCATCTTTGCTTATAATGCTTGTGACTTTAGGCAATATCGAGGCTATCCGCACAGTATGCTAATAAGAGATGGATCGATTGCAGTCCTAAACATCTATGGAAAGATCGAAAGAAAATACAAAATGAATTTAACTCTCATCCTTTGTAAGTGGTGTGAAATCTTCTTTACCATAAATATCATTGTTCGGGGAAAAAATACGGTCACCAAGCTTAATAGTTCAACACTAGATCCCATATATTTTTTAAAAAGAAATTCGAATACTATTTACCTATTGCTTGGGCTTCGATTTAAGGTTTGATGAAGTATTTCATTATGGAACCTGTTCTGTATCTATAATGTTAATATGCAATAGCCAGAGTCCTGTGGCTGAAATAATATTTTCGCAGTAAGAAACAATGTTAATATTAACTATGGCCAGAAAGAAAAATATTTGCATGTGCCTTTCATCCAGAAAATTAGCGTTTCCAAAAAATTACATAGTCATACGTTTGATTACTTTCATATACTTGAGAAAATTATTTTGAAGATTTCTTATTGCCTAATATAATCATCACATCTCAATTTATAGACAGTAAAATGATAACGGTAATCGTGCAGAAGTGTTAAATATAACCTATTCACAGATATAAATCAGTCGGTAATCATCAACAAAAAGTCTATCATAAATGGTTGTCCGGAGTTGTCATACAGTTATAGTACGTGAGGTTAAGAATGAAAACATGAATCCCAAAAGAGATCGGAATAATGTAGCAGAAATGACAGTGAGAGAGTGAACCTTTGGATGTTTCAAAAAGAGAGCGAAAACGTGTGTGGGAAGGAAGGTTGGAATTCATGATCGAAAGATAATAGTGAATTCATCTGCATCAGCAAGAACGGTCGTCCAGTGCTTCCAGGTTTTTTATGGTGGTCTAACTTCAATCGACTCATAATCTCAACTATTAACGTTACAATAATATCCACAAAACCCCTTCTGATATTTATTTAGTTGTTTTTTATAGAAACTAATTATAACTTTATTTCGATCATTTATTTCATCATAACTATAGTATTTTTTAAATTTATTATGATAATTGTAGTTTTTTGTGCTTGGAATAGTCTTTGAAATTAACATAAATAAATGTTTATTATCATTAAGTAAATATTTCATTAGTTGATAATACATAAATAACATTACGAAAGCCAATATAAATATGACAGATCTTTTCAGTGAGGAGTTATTCACCAGTTGGTTGATAACAGATAAACAATTAGTCATGGGTAATATCATGATCAAACTATGGGATAAGTTATCTCGGTAACTAATACGTGTGCTAATAGAGTTCAATGATTTTTATATCAATAATTGAAGCATATTATTTTAAGTATTTTGCTCTAAACTTTAAAAAAAAAATTAAGATTCTATTATTTTCAATAGAAAACCGATTTCAATTGTTCACTATTTTTGTGATTTGTAAAGGGATTTTTTAGATGGAAATTAGATTGTTTATCAGTCTATCAATAACAAAAACAAAACGCTTAAGTTACCGATGAAACAAAATTTTAATCAAGATGTTTACTATAAGCTTGATAATGATACAAGTTACTTAAAGAATTCCTATTCAATATCGCCACTTTAAATTTGTTTATGTTTTCGGTTTTCTATTACTATCAGTCCATCAATTCAGCTTAACTTTGCATATAATTAAAACTTAAGGGTGTTTTAGTCAGAGGT